TATTAAAATAACATAATTTTAAAATCATTTTTCTTTTAATTTTTTTAGATAGAACTGAAAGGCACTTTTGTCTAACTATATTTAAGGTGGGAATAATTCAACGCTTCTGCACCGCCCGACATTTTTTAAAGTTAAATCTTCTTTATTTAATCCTTAAACTATTATATAGATTTTTTATTTGGTCTTTAAATTAAAAAAATCTTTGATTTAGTTCCTAAATTATTATATAGACTCTCGATTTGATCCTATTGTTTATCAATTTACTCCAAATTGATCTTTTCATACAAAAACCAACTGACATGTCTTGTTATTAATATGATACATGATTGTTAAGTTATTATTTTTTGTCATTAAATTACTATTTTTCATAGTTAAGTAATAGACACATCAATTTTTTTTATATAAAAAGACTAATTGTAATTGCACCAAATCAGAAACTCTTCTTCAGTCCAAGTCTTCACTTCGAATTAACCTGCAAAGCCCCGAGATAAGTCCTCAGGGTAGACACTTCGATGCTTAAGTCAGCAATAATCGGATATACCTTTTTAGAATAATTAAAGAGGAATTTTAGGTCGGTTTCAATTACCTTTTTGACGTGACCCCTGGGGGGTATTTATAGACCTTTGTGAGGTATCCACGTGGCTTGCTTAGCAAGATAATTGGAGTGTGACGTGTCCCTTAATGAGGTAAATTCGAGACCGGCGGTAAATTCGGGACCGGGAAATTGTGTGACAGATCAAGTGCGGACATGTCCACTATATTTACCATGTAGTCATTTAACCGGAGCTGCTGGAAGTAATCTCACTTCGACTGTTAAGGGATTGTTACAGTACGTCCAAGGTTAAGGACCTTGGGCCTGTCCTTACACTATTCCCCCCCGAAGTCATTCACTTGTGAATGATGTTGTTAGAGGTGCAGGAATAGAAATAAATGGGAATAAACATGTTAAAGGTGAGTTACAGAGATAAAAATTGGTAACTCCAATTCATATGTAACCGTAAAACAAAATGCGACTGGCATGATTATGGCTGGAGCAGTAATGAAAATAATGACAGGAGTTGCAGTGGCCAAGGACATGGGAAGAAGTGATGACTAGAGTCATAGTGGCCGGGGCCATAACAAAAAATGATGACCGGAGTCATAGTGGCCTTAGCCAAAGTAAAATGTAATGATAGTAGTCATAATGGCCGGAGCCAAAGTAAAAAGTAATGACCGGAGTCATAATGACCGGAGCCGAAGTAAAAAATAATGATAAGAGTCATAATGACCAGAGCCAAAGTAAAAAATAATGACAGGAGTCATAATGGCCGTAGTCGAAGTAAAATATGTGACATGAGGTCACTATGGCCGGAGACGAAGTGAAACACTTGTAAGTTAAAAATATAGAAGTGTTGAGGTGGGCTTAAATGGGCCCGTTTAAAAAGTCTGACGTAGGGTTGTTATGTGACATGACAGCTGTCTGTCGAGAGACGTGTACAATAAATATGGGTTGTAAAAAAGTAACTGCACAGTTAAGCAGACGGGATGGGAAACGAACCGTCAAGTCCTAGAGATTTCCCTTGGGGATTAACCGTCAAATTTGAAAAGGTGTAATCGTGACCGTTAGATGAAATTAATCAAAACCGTTGAAGCGTATATTTCCTTTGGTAATAAAGCTATACTTCTGTAAAAAGAGTTTTACTTTCTCCGTATTTGCTACCAAAGTGCTACCAAATTTTCTACAGTGTTTGTGTGAATGATTTGTGTGACGCATTTTCGACTTTAAAACTTGTTCTGCTCTATCGAAATCAGGTAACTTATGAACTTTTGTAATTTGAGTTCTGGTAGTGAACTTTATTCTCCTCTCACCCTTTCTGATTTAGATTTAAGCCCTCTTAAAGAGGTTAGGGTTGAGTGAGAGTGATATTGAGCGTAAGTTATAGTTTTTTGAAGATCCTAACTACATCCCTCCCCCTACTCCGTGTAGCGAAAGTTACGAGACTGAGGAGATGTCTTCTGAGGATACATTGAGCATTGGGGGGAGCAAGGAAGTAAGGATGTTGGAGTACAGTGATGTGAGCATTGAGGGTGAATCGTCTGGGTCTGAGTGGACAAAGGGGGGGGTAGAGAGAAATGAGGTAGTTGAGGTTGGGGCAGAAGAGGTGCTTGTCAATATTTTGGAAGTGGGAGATAGGAGGGATAAGTGTTATGATAGTGGGGCAAACATTGTGTCTGAGGTAAAGGGGTATGAGTCTGAGCTCAAGGGTAGGGATAGCCTGAGTTATCTCGTAGAAAGCTACGAGATATCTTCTAAAGTGTTAATTATGCCTGCTAGAGTGAAAGAAAGGGCATGCTCTACACCCAAGGATCACTGGATGCCAGTGTATGCCCATTACTTGGCAGCAGGGCTTAGATTTCCTTTACTTGATTTGTTAGTGTGGTTGCTATTAGAGTATAGTGTAGGCTTAACCCAATTATCGCCCAATGCAGTGAGGGTGATAATTGGGTTTGTAGTTTACTGCCAGGCTAGGGGTTAGGGTGCCCACAGTAAACATGTTTAAGCACTTTTTTGTGCTTAAGGCTAGCAGTAGGAAGGAGAAGGGGTGGTACTACTTTACACCTTGGTCATCTAACAAAGAGAGAAGAAACTTGTTTAGTGCAAGGCCTTCCTCCATTAAGGGATGGAAGGAAAAATTTTTCTTTGTTGATGACACCGAGTGGGATAGGGGAGATGCAGAGGTAGAGGACCTAGCTACCTGGAAGGCTAAAAAGGCCAACCAGAATAAGTATAGTTTAAATAGAGATGAGGAGGAAAAGATAGAAAAGCTGGTGAGAAAGGAGGGCGACATAGTAGATATAAAAATAAGACAAAGTTCACTTGAAAGAAGTGTATTAAGGGTAAAACTTTTTTAAGTTATTGACATTCCCACAGACGGCACCAATATAATTGCACCAAACCAGAAGCTCTTCTTCAGTCCAAGTCTTCACTTCGGATGAACCTGCAAAGCCCCGATGTGGGTCCTCGAGGTAAACACTCTAATGCTTAAGTCAGCAATAATTGGATCTACCTTTTTAAAATAATTAAAGATGAGCTTTAGGTCGGTTTCAATTACCTTTTTGACGTGGCCCCTGGGGGGTATTTATAGGCCTTTGTGAGGTATCCACGTAGCTTGCTTAATAGGATAATCGAAGTGTAACGTGTCCCATAATGAGGTAAATTCTGGACCGACGGTAAATTCGAGTGTGGGAAATTGTGTGATAGATCAGATGCGGACATGTCCACTATATTTACCATGTAGTCATTTGACCGGAAGTGCTGGAATTAATCTCACTTCGGCTGTTAAGGGATTGTTATGGTACGTCCGAGGTTAAGGACTTTTGGCCTATCCTTACACTAACTTAGAGCAAATTGATAAATAATATAGACTAAATTACGTTCTGTATAATCATTTGAAGATCAAATCAAAGAAAAAATTTAGTTTAAACACTGAATTAAAAATCATACAATAGTTCAGAAATCAAATAAGAGGTTTAACATTTTTTTTTATTAAATAAAGCCTTGGACGAAAAGTCTTCTGACACTTGGAACGATAGCCTGGGGCTTTATAGTGTATCCGCCAACTGACTTTTGTCACCGAAAGCGACAGATCATTTTGATGTGATGATATCCCGATCATGAAAGAAAGAAAGCATGTGATTTCGCTGATTTCCACAACGGCTGAACCGACGCAATCAAACGACCCGGATTGTTTCACGGATTTTGAGAATATTCCCGGATCTATTGCTGGACCGGCCCACTTTCACAGTCCAGCTGTCTTGGCCTTCTGGCCCAGTTGTAGTTTTACATGTGCTACTTTTAATTCAATCTAATCCTATTTAAACTGGGCCGTGATTCGGCCCATTCTCTCTATAGTTTTTTTTTTATTTTTTTTTTATTTTTTTACATATGGAATTATGGGAGAGGATAAGCTGTTTTGTATTAAAGTCAGTTAATCCACAAAAATAAAAAGAAGAAAAAAAAATTATAATCTTTTGAAAAACGTTTTTATTAGTTGAGTAAGTTACCTCATGTTGCAGGGAACAGAATGTCTTCGCACTTCTTTTTATAGTTTTTCAATCACAATAATGTTGCAAAAGTGAAGAAATGAAGAGACTCAAAACCAACAAGCAAACTCAAGACAAAAACCAGTCTCCAATCTCCACCTTTTTCTACCCTACTTTATTTCAAGACCCCATCTGCCCTTACTAAAGCCATTAAAACACATTTTTGTTTACTCTCTCCGTTTTGTTCTGTCAGTTGCTTGCCGTCTTCTTTTGTTGATTTTGATTTTTCTTCTTTTTGCATTTATAATTTGACTAATATATATTTGGATTCTTTTCATAATTTTTTTTTTTATTTTTAGCTAGTATAAAAACATAATTTTTTTTTTTTTAACAAAAATAGATATTCCTCACCTCAAGCAAATAAAAAATATTGGCTTTACAAAGATATTATCTAAATTTATATAAAAAAAACAAAGTAATAATGAGTAAAACAGAATGAAGTATAATAATGCAAATAATTAAGGTTTAATGACTTTAATCATGCCAGACAAGAAGACAACCATGCCAATTTTTGACTTTTTAGTCGGTTATTAATTAGGTTTTTTTAAAGGGGCAAAAGAAAAAAAAAAAAAAAATCTTGTTACTTCTGTTCTAAGCATAGACTTCAACGATTATTTAAGTTCCTTTAATCTTTTGTCTTTCTCTATCTGCTGTTACACAGCAAAACGCGTATCAACTATCAAGCGATGTAATGAATAGAGAAAACTCTGTTTATATTTGGTTAAAGTCAATAATAATGCTTAAAATCTGACTAATGTAAATGAATGCAAAACCAAGACCCCACATGCAGGTACGTAGTCCATTTGAAGTAAAAATATGACTAAGTTGATGATGGTCCACCTATAGTTGAAATTAATCCTCCATATATGATATGACCATGTAATTATCCTTTCATAATTCTTTACATAATATTTATTTCTTTCTAGGGAAAGAAAAAAGCATTCACAATCGCATTGAAGGTTGTGACTAGTTAGGGATGATGGAATTAAATAATTTAATAGTAATTTATTTTAGAACAATGTGTCATGAGACGGATTCAAATCTACTTAAGAAGAGAAAAGAGATACACTTTAATGTGATCGGAGATCACTTGACCTAAAGGGTTAAGTGTAAATAATTTAATAATAATTTTATTTTTATGTAAAATAAAAAAGTATAAATTTAAAGTGTATACATATAGATGAAATTAAAATGATTAATAAAGCGAGAAAAATGTTTTTATTATGCAATGTACACAACAAAAAAAAATTGCAAGTTGCAAGTAGCCAACCGGGGGAAGACGGAGAGACCAAGGCCTAGCTTAATGGGCTTATATTGGGCTGTTTCATGACAATTATGGAAACCCCTTGAGTTTTGGTCAATAACTACTTTTAGTCTAAAGCTTTCAAAAAGTTACAATACTTTCCCTGAAAAGCAACTCGTATAGTCATCACTTATTAGGGATGTAAGTTTGACACTGTCATTTTTTTTACCAAAAGGTTTGACATTGTCATAATACAAGGGTTTTGTGTAATTTTCTCTCATGAACGTTCTTGCCTGCCTCCCTACCGTAATATTATATAGTAGATTAATAAAAGTTTAAGTAAATTAATATTAATTAATTTTAAAATTTTTATTTAAAATTTAAATTATAAATTTAAATTTTTATAATATTAAATAATTTTTTTAAAATAATTATCATGAAATCAAATTAAATCATCATCCAAAAAAAAAAAAATAAACATTTAGAGTGGTAGAAATCACTTAACTATATGGATCAAGTTCTTATAATATTAAATAGTTAACCTTTTGATATAATAAAAAATCATAATGCTACAAGGTATAGGCACATAAAAGACGTCATTTTTTAGACTTTTTTACTAGTTTGTTTTTTCAAAAGGAGGATTACTCATCAAGAAAAATGAATAATTGTCAAGGCATTTTAACTTTTCACAGCCTTATTACTCTTTTTTAGATTACCTTTTTTTTGGTTGAAATTCAAGCAAACCTTCTAGATATTTGGCCCAACAAAAAAAGAAAAAAAAAAAGAAAAAGCAAACCTTCTAGATTACAAAAACTTTGAAAATTTTGTGTTCACGTTGGCAATCATTTTCTTTTGTCATCATATATAACTAGAAATCTTGAAATTTAACCGTGATGGGGAGAGTTCCCTAGGTACGAACTCAATTAATATTTTGAGCTTGTGGACTATTTGTTTTGTTTGACAACGATATATTTTGCAACCCAAAGCGACAAAGGTGTATATTCACCAAAAGAATAGCAATAGAGATACAGTAGGAGGTGATATTTTCTCATTAAATGGGGCAAGCAGTTTGGGACTTGTTTACATACCTCGGGTGTAAGAACCGAGTCCATACCTGTAGCAACGCAATTCTAAGGTTGAGTGGTTCTTAAAATAATAATAATAAATTATTCAAGTGCATTGTTATGGCATTCCAAATATAAAGTTGCTAATAATAATATCTTGATTTGAGTATAAAAATTCAGTTTTTTTTTTTAAATAAAACTTTAAATTTAAATATTGTAAATAAAAAAATAGATATTAAGAGAGTTTTCTCCATTTGAGATTTAACGTTATTCAATTTTAAATTAATTAGTATTCATTTTGACTTCCAAATATGAAGGAGTTAATATTAAAAAAAAATTGTTTAACCTAACTATTTAAAACAAGTTAATTAGTAGTTTTATCTAATTTAATAAATAAGAATATTTTTATGGAATAAATAAGAATTTTTGAATTAATAATAATTATTAGTTGTTAAATTAAATAAAATCACTAACAACTAATTTTAAATTATTATACCAAAAAACCTCCAAAAATAAAAACTATTTAATAAAAGATGATTCATAAAACTCTATTATTAAGAAACTTATTATTCATCTAATAATTTAAATTATACAATTCACTATCAATTGAATTGTTATATATATATATTTTTAATTTATTCTCTTAAAACACACATTAAGAATACCCTTTTATCATAAAAATATAAAAATTAACATTAATATTAAGATTAAATAAATAAATTTAATTAAATAATTAATAAATTAAATATTATTTTTTTAATATAAATACTCGGTTGTTAAAAAAACCTATATTTATTATTTAATGGGGCAGGGACTGTGGGACTCTGATTCCACAGGACTTCGGCTTTATGATCAGAATTCAGAAACGTTATTGGTACAACCTTGTCTTGACTCTTGACCATTGTAAAACAACAACACCTTATCAAAGGAAAAAAAAAAAAAAAATCAGAGAAAACAATAAAAAAATGGAAAAAAAACCAAGGATAAAATTAGGACAAAAAAATAGTGGGGGCAAACAGCACTTGAGTCTTGAGGTGTGTCACTATCCACCTAATACAATGGGAAAGAAGGGCTTTGTGTGGTTTGGGACATCACATGGGCCTGCACATAAACAATAGACCTGCTATCCTCACCTGACATGTACAAATCATGGTTTTTCTAAAACAATTCATTATGTAACCAAGGCATGTTCCCCTCTTCCCTTTCAGCCACTTCAAATTTTTCTACAGGCAGGGGGACAACTCTTATGGAACCATGCCCCCCACAAAATCCCCTGAGGATTTCCATCTCTTTATAGTTTTTTTCTTTTCTTTATCCATCTAGGATCTAGAATGATTAAGGAAAAGATTTGGAACTTAACTTTGCATCTTTACAGAGTGTATTTTACTCCCGAATGTTCATGAATAGTAGTATGATTTTTCTATCAATTTTTATATTTTTCATAATTGCTTTATATATAAATTAATAAAAATTAAATTCACTTATACGTAAATTTTATATATATCACATATATAAAATATTAGTTATTTATTTTTTA